AATCAATTGATAAAAAAGAACTGAAGCAGAGGCCATGGAGGAATGCTATGTACTAATTCTCTCCCCGTGGTTTGCTTTCTTATATACCCCAGGACCACATGCCCAGGGGTCACATTCTCCTCTGTTAGCTGGGTCCCCCACATCAATCATTACTTTAAAAGGCCAATCTGATGGAGCAATTCCTTAGCTGAGTCTCCTCTTCCCAGACGACTCTAGTTCACATCGAGTTGACAAGAAAATTAACCGGCACACATAGTGTGACAAGAAGTCTAGGAGAATAAGGATGAACACTTTATATAACAACCTATTTTCTTTAGAACTAGCTCAGCATTGATCCTTTCCAGGGCAATGGCCCAGGCCACCTATTTAGTTTGCTCTAGGACCTAATTTCTTAAAGGTTCCCTTATCTCCAACCTACCCTGGAAGATTGTTCTCAATGAAGCAAGTGGGATGTAGGAACTACCCTGAGATATCTGCCTTTCACACACTCTCACCATGTTGCCATATGACAGAAAATCCACTCCAGGGCTGAAAAGACACTATGGCGCTATGTTCTTGATTCTCCAAATGCAATGGGCTGAGTGAAACTTTTTTAAATTTATTAATGCCCAGCCTCTGACATTTTGTTATAGCAACAGAAAATTGACTGACAGAGCCAGTAAACCAAATACCAACGCAGTGGCGCAGCCCTTCCGCATCACAAAGGAGAAGGGCGGGACTGTGAAGCCACAGCGCTCCTTCCACAGCCCTGGCATCTGGGTAAAAAAGCGAAACTTAGCAGCAGATCATTGGCTCCAGCTGTCTGTGGCTCTGAATAAGCTCTGCCAATAACTCAAGTTTCCCCACAACTAAAGGAGAAAAATGAGTCTGTGAGCGTCGTGGAGATACCCTTGGCAGGAAAGCCAAGGGAGTTGGGCGCTAATCTTGACGGTGCCAACTGGAGCCGTGGGAACCTGAGCAAGCGACTTCAGTCTCCGGGCCTTTTCCTCCACCCCAAAAGGAGAGCTTTGGGTTCAGTGATGGTTTTTAAATCTCCGAATTTTTCCATAATTCCGAGCCCTGCTTTCCTCCCCAGCTACAGGTCAGAAGGGGCCTCCACTTCGGTGACTGTGAAACTCAGGTGACGGGTTTCTAATGAAGAGAGCTGGGAAGAAACAGACAGGGAAAGAAAGAAACCTCATGGGGTCAGAGACACAAGGAAGGATGGAATAATAGTGGCTAATGGAACGCTCCCCCAATGCTATAGAAACCTTGCGCTTCCAGACCGGGCATTTTCTGCCTGCTGCCTGTGTCTCGCTTTCCCTCGTAGATTGAGTCCCAGCCTGCATGACAGCCTCATTTTTCACTGAATGCTCATAGTGAAAGCTCAACTGTAATCTCTTTTGGCATGCTTTGGTCCTAAATTCATAACTGGAGGAGCAGACCTCTGTGCAAGCAATCACTGTTCATTCCTCGCCACTCTGCCCGGCAGAGCCCGGCAGTCCTCACACCCATGGCTTTCTCCCAACTTCACACTTTGTCAAAATGCATCATGACTGACACAAAGAAATGGTCCCTGGAAACTCCCCGTTTTCCAATCCTTTTACTCTATAATTGTTTTTCTTCTTCAGGGATTGGCTATCCTCAGAATAGGCCTGAGTCCTTGCCTGGATTGTTTCCTTTTTAAAGCAGACTTCACTACAAAAGGGAGGCCCTTCCCACAGTTCAGTGCTCTCCCAAGAGCACGGGCATTGTCCGGGTCTCTGCTTCCTCTCCCTGGGCATGGGTTTCCCTGACTGCAGTGTCCTACACGGTGGCTCCAGGTGGCCAATCCCTTCCAGCAACTCTTAAGATTTGGTTCTATGAAGATATTCTGTCAAAAGCAAAGACGGGCTGCCCTTCTAGAATCTTCTTTCCTTCAGATGATGTTAACTCTTGGCCATGAGCCTCAAGTCCTGCGTACCTCTCCACTCCCCTCAGCAGGTCTTGGAGGGTCTCTCCTCTTTTCACACTAGCCTTGAGGTTCTTTGTCATCTATCTTAACACGGCAGTGGGCTTTGCACATTCTATTCCCTCACTATGGGGGCTTCTTGCCTCCATCTCTTCAAGCCTGCTGTTCCTCAGCCTTGGGTCTAGGGGCCTGTGCTCACCCACCTCATCCCTGAAAGAGCAAGCCCCTCACTGTCCTACTCAGGTGCATTGGCCATGCATGCCCCAATTTGGACAGCACTACCTATGACTGTGCCTCAAGCTTTTTCTGACCATTGGTGCCCAGTTTGTCCAGAAACAGCTCAAGTTGAATGCACTGGTGAGCTCGTGGCCCCAGGAGTGCTTCAATCAGCACTTGACACCTTGCTCATCAGTGGTAACTGTGGTCTAAGCTCCTGAGGGCTAAGTTCCAGTTGCCTGTGGGGCATACCCTTCCTTGTCTCGTGTCCCTACTTGTCTGCCAGTCTGGGACCTTTTGGTCTTTCCATCAAGGTACTTACTCACAAATCTCTGCCATTAAGCACTGTGTTCATATCATCTAAGCAAGTAGCAGACCACTCTCTCCCTGTTGCCCCCTTGCATATCCTTCAGAGTGTTTGACCTCTCTGAATGCATTTCCTGGTGTGTGTTTGCATATTTTCTTTTAACAGACATCTCTACATTGAGGGTTGGCTTCATGAAAAGTGTTCTTTCTCTGGATCCAGACTTCGAGAAATGTGTGTTGAGAATTGCACAAGCTCCTCGTCTGCAGCATGCTGTAACACCAAGTCCCTCTAGTTTTTCAAAAGCATTCCTAATTCAAGGCTTGGTAGCCCAGCAAGCCTCCTTCAGCATCTTAGTAATGGAGCCAGAAGCTCCAGAGCAACCAGAACATGATCGCCAGTGCCCTGGATGTCCCACCAGTCAGAGGCACTCAGAGGCCCCAGTCCTGCTCTCTCAGCTCGGCAGGTAGGTCCTGCATAGGAGGGAGCATTCAGTCAGGATATGTCAAAATTCTTGCAGCAGTGTTTTATCGGACATCTGGATGCTTGGCCCAAATTTAGTTTGCTTTCTGTCACATGAAACCCATATTGTACCAGCTGCTTGTCTCTCTCCTGCGGGGTATTCTGAATCTTGAACTTCATTCTTCAATCAATGAATGAAGTTGTCAATTAGATGATTCCTAAAAGGTATCTGAACAAAGTTGTATCTTTCTAAATAGGCTTATGTTCTGAATATTCCCACCACAGTGGGTATCCTGGTGTGTATATCACCCGTGGGTGCTGATCACATCAGTAATAGATAGTGTATGCCACCATGCCCCCTAACCCCCCACACATACACTCCATACCAGTCCATCTGTCTAACCTTCCTGGATTCTAAGCATCAGAAAACACCATACAATATACCTGTTTATTCCTTCTTGTAAACCCAAGGTTTACTATAGTTACCACATACAGAAGACACTCAATGTGTGCACGGGGATAAAATGTGCACATGTGTGCCTAAACCTCACTACTCCCAGAGGAAGGGTCACTAAAGGTCTATGAAATCATCCCGAATGTGTTTATAGTCCTAGAGAGAAGGGCACTGTGTCAACAACCAACCTGCTAAGAAAAAGCCATTGTGTTGAGGGTAGATGATAAATGGTGCTGGAAGAGACATGGACCAGCACTCGGTGCTTTGGGAAAAGGCAAGCACATCTCAGCTGTAAACAGAGAGGCTGATCTCAAAAGCACTCCCCAGCCTGCATATTATTGCTATAGCTGTAACTGCCAAAGATATCGAAGTCACTTTGTGACCATGAGGGCCATGCCCAGCTCTGCTTCTCACACACCAGCGGTCTAACGCATGGTGAGTCTGAGAAGGTGACTTGCAAGAGGCACTTGGCCAGGGGAACTAGAGACTGCAAAAGCTGGCTCGAGGAGCGGGGTGTGATGATGAATCGGAGGCATTTTGTAAACCATAAATCGCTTCTCTGTACTGTATGTTTTTATGATGATGATAAATATCGCTGCTAAGTATGCTCGGTGGGTAATTAGTCCCAGATGATGCCCTGTGTGTGTGTATGGGGCGGGGAGTGTCCATGGCTAGGAAGTCAAGAGTGGAACATTTTAAAATGCAAGTAGACATTGCTCTGTCCCTGCTCAAAACCCTCCAGAGGTTTCTATCTCACTGAAAGCCAAAGTCAGACTCCTCCTGGTTATAGCCTGCAAGTCCTCTGTGGACAGGCCCAGCCCTCTTGCAGCCTGTCCCTGCTGCCTTCTGCTCCAGGCTGGCCTTCCACCTGAGTCTTTGTTACAGCCATCTTCCTGTTTCCCCTTCAACACACCCTTCACGTGAACTCTACATGGCCCTGTGGAGAAACACAAAAAGCCACAGAGATCTGTGGGTTAAAGCCACAATAAGATATACTGCTCCCCATTTGGCTGCTGAATATCAGAGAGGACAAGAGACGAACATGCCGCTGGGGATGGAGGGAAATCAGAAACTTTCTGGGGGCTGCATTTGCCCTAAAGCTGCCCATCCAGCATGGGGCCATGACTTACAGTTTGAGAAACTGTATCCTGGAGCACAGTTGCGTCCTTGAGCAACTGTGGGGCTCCATTCCAGTGTGCGAGGTGGTACCACGGCTCAGGCCTGCTATGCAGCCCACCCAGTTACAAGGATTCTCTCCCCTACTATTGGGCGTGTGCCAGCACACACCGCAACACTGATGGGTTGTAGGCCAGGAAGCTAGCATGCCAGGCATAAGAGGCCAAGGCCAAGGAGAGTCATTAAAGTCGTAGCCTTCTTCAGTCTCCAGCCCGAACATCACCCACTGGAGGAATCTGCTGATAAATACAATGGCAGAGCCCAGTCTTAGACGCACCATATTGTCTGAAAGAAGTGGAGCACCAGAGAACTTGCTAAAAGGTCACCATAGTCCTGGGACACCTGAGACAGAAAAAGCTCACCTATGATGAAATAAAGCAGTAGCGGTGGTTGCTGGGAGCTCAGGAGAGGATGGCTCTAGAGTGTTGGGGAGAGTGGGGAGGGCCCTGAGGAAACCATGGGAGGGGAGGCAGCTGCTTTGCGTCTCCGTGACAGCGTGAGTTGCGGGATTGGATTTTAAAACACAAACTAGATGCTCTACCTGGTCTTCCCCTTCTCGTGAATCTGACCTTTAAAACTGAATGATTCTCACAAGTTGTCCTCTGAGTTCCATATACATGCTCTCTCTCTCTCTCTCTCTCTCTCTCTCTCTCTCTCTCTCTCACACACACACACACACACACACTCACACACATGCATGGATGCATGCATAATGAGTGAATGAATGCTATAAAGATAAAAGTGTGAACAAATAGTGAGCTAATAACTGATGTGTGTACTGCCCTATGGGAGTGATAGATTCTGAGGTCTGCAATTTTGAAGGAAGTCGAAGAATAAAATAATCGACATATATGGAAACACGATTTTTAAAAGCAAAATGTTGATAACTGTAGACATCTAGGCGGTTGATCTTCATGTGTTAACATGACAATTAGTTCAGCTTTTCTGAGTGCTTAGAAAGTTTCCAATACAATGTTGAGAGGAATGACATTATATTATCAAAAATTTAAGCTACAAAAATATTTAAACGGTTCCATTCTCACCAAGTTGCAAGCAGAGTCAGAATGTTAAAATTGTGTGACCAGTTGGTCCTCCTAGAATGGAGATTCTTAACCAGTGCTCTGCAAAGCACTGTGGGAAGCCCTTCCGCCGGATAAACAGTTGGTGCTTCTGGTGGACACTGGTGTGTGACATCTAGAGCTGGCTGTCCTCTGCTGGGCACCGCAGTCCTTGCAACTCCGGCATGGCTGTACTTTCTCAAGCCTGGTCTTCAGGCCCCAAAAGTACCTCTTGCATCATTGCCCCCCAGAACACTTATAGCCTGTAAACACATTGGAGTTCAGAATCGAGACCCTCATGCATGCTGACAAGTGCTCTACCACTGAGCCACATACACAGCCCTGTGGCCTGAAGATCTCTCAAATGCTGGAAGGTCGAGAGAAGAGATTATCATCTAACTGTGTCCGTCCAGGTCAGTTCTCTAAAGAAATAATTGTGCTGAGCTAACAGCTTCGGGTGCTTAGAAAGGAAAGGGATGGCTGCCATGGTCACATACACTTCCACACGTGTAGTTTAGGTAACCATCTATTGACCACTGCAAGGGAGTCAGCTAACTTGTAGTATCTTTAAAAAGTCTTATTTTAAGACTTTAAATCGATTAGGCATAAAATCGATACTGGAACCCGAGCCGAGAGACAAAGCAAAGAGGGAGATCCCTTTTCAGATTGTTGTCCCACACCTCTTTTGGGGGAACTGGCCTGGGAAAGGGGCAGGGGTCAGGCAGCACCCCACTCAGCCTAGGCACTCGGCTGCCTGTCACTTGATTTTCCTCTGAGAAAGTGAGAATGGAAACCAAGCGGAGAGCGAGCGAGAACAGATGTCTGATATCATTAAAGCTGGCTCCGAAAGAACCCAGATCTCAGTTTGGTATATTAATGCTCTGTTTATCTTTAAGCACAGATGGATATTTTTATTGGTATTACTTTGTTTATCTGGTTTTGAGAAAGGTTAGTTCAAGGGGCAGATGCCTGAGTGATGGGAGCGCATTCCTTTGAGGGAGTGGGAGTCGGGCAAGCTCTTTGTGTAACTTTAATTAGGAGAGCCAAGCCTAAGTTAGAGATGTTGGCAGCTCTCGCCTGATCTAAGGAAGCCAGTTACAACAGAAAGGCAAGCAGGATATTGATAAGATTCGGCTTGCCTACCTCCCCTCCTTCCCATCTGAAGAGAGACGCAGCACTCTACTGCCTCCCTTCCCCATGGAAAATGGATGAGGCAGATCCCAAGTTCTCAGGAAGGAGATGGCTCCTGAACAGCTGGCAAACACCTAAGATGACCACAGCAAGAGACCAAGCATCAGTGTTCTTTCTGGTTTTGAGCATGTGGGCCGTCCCGAAACTTCCAGGCAAAGAAATTTCCACATGGCTTCTAGTTTTTCTGACCTTTATTATATGGAAGCCTGGCATTCTAGGGGAATGCCCAGTGTGTCCACAATTGTTACTGTTAACTCTGTTTTAGTAACTGGAATTCATCTCTAACTAAGTCATCCTTTTTGGAGTAGCTAAATGGAATTATGGACTCGGGGGTCCAGGAAATTCCTTTCTGGGTTGGATTAGGCATACCCAAGACACTGCCTGGAGAACCCACGATGCCGCCTGGAATACATAGGTACCTCCTGCAAGACCACAGTACCGCCTGGAGTGAGCATCCACCGGCACCGCCTAGAAAGACCACAGTACCTCCTGGAATGAGTACCCATGGTACCTCCTGGAGTAGACTTGCCTATGGCGAGCATTTTGGTGTCAGATCTTAATACCTGTCTCCCAGGCCAGCCCTCTTGCCTCTATTCTGAAAGTCCCTGCTTTCACTTCATGCTGCATTCTTTCTACTACTTTCAAACACCTCCACACTGCCAACGATGCTTCTCCTCACACACCACGTGATCCAAGGAACCCAGCTGTTTCACAAGTACACCCCTCCAATCCCTGACTGCCAGTGGCTCCAATATTAGCATCTCAGATTAGCGTACTACAGCACATGCAAATAAGATACATGCGTGTCGTTGCTCGCCTGGGATACCATGTGTGACTTTCTCCCCTCTCTTCCATGGTAGTCCCGTGTTATCTTCCCTTAACTAAGGTATGCTTCTGCTTGTGGGGACCCTTATTATCCACCTTGCTTCCAGTGTTTCTCCCTCCTAGAATATGTTCCTTTCTTTCCCTCTGCAGGCTCAACTCTGGCCCACCTGAGAACGCAGCTCTCATCTTTATCCCATCCTCTAGCTCTTCAATGTCTGCATGCCCTCTCCCATTGAACCTATTTTCAATTACCTTGCCGTTTATTTATTTATTGCAGAGTTGTTGGTATAAGAGAGTCCTTGGAGGCAAGTCTCCTATCGGATTGGTTTTTACAGCCCCTGAGCATGCAACATTGTAGACATTCAGTGAGTACCCTTGACTGTGGAGTGGACATGTCAGGACATGCCTTGCCTTTCCAATGCCAGCGTGCAGGAAGAATTGAAGAACCTTCTGGAAAATAACCCCAGCCTGAGGGAGCGAAGGTGAGGCAGCAAAGCTTGGCCCCATGACAAAGCCTTAGTCATGGCGGCAAGGGCTTGGGTTTTACAGCATAATGCTTGTCTTTCAGCTTTGTCTGCCCACCCAAGAGCTGTTTACTGTGAAAAAAAAATCTCGAGGGTATTGGAACACAAACAGCACAATTTTAAGGTCCCTGTGAAAACACTGGGATGAAAAGGCAGCTCTCTCCTGACTCTCCACAGGCTCCGGAGGACACGGGCGTCCCTGCAGTGCTTTAAGGACACAGCTCAGACTGCTCCGGGGGAGCAGCGAGAGAAAGCAACGTGGATGAGACCCAAGGCCTGACAACTGATTAGCGCACACTTGGGGTCCCTCTAGAGACCCCCAGAAGCAATTTGTGGAGAGAAAGGAATTACAGTGCCTAGGGTTCCTTTGAGATCAGGTAGATATGGTACAAAGAGCAGGTAGATCACATGACTTGGGATGGGGAGATAAGAGGAAGGGGAGAAGCACACAAAGGGATCTCACAGCCCGTTCAGCCTTCGGTTTGGGTTATTATGATTAATTGGTTCTGCGGGTTTCTTCTGGTCCTGTAAGCACAGTTGCAGTCTTGGAGTCTTATCTGTGTAGAGTTAAACTGTCTCCCAGGACCTTCCTCCCCTCTTCCATCCAACTGTCTTTTGATTCCATCATTTTCTTCTCATGGGTTGCATCTGTTTCATCATCTCTCCAAGGCTGTTCTACTTAAGTCTGTTGAGCCAAGGGGACGCCTGTCACTCGCCCCAGGACCTTCTGTTTATCATTGTAAAGACTGGGATCAGATGGGAACAAGGGGAAAGAAAACATGATCTATGCCCCTGGAGTTTGGCAACCGGTTGAAGTGGTAGAAAAGGAGATGAGAGGAACAGGCAAGACAGACCAGCCTGCCTAACCACTCTTCATTCCTCACGCCGGGTGATTATTAAGCATGGTCCTGCATTGACAAAATTTGCTAGCTTTCAGAGTAGGCGAATCGTGCTTAGTCTTCTTGGCATTTTTAAATGCAAATGAAAAATCACCCGACTCTCCGAGCCAGAAGCAAAAAAGATAAATAACACCAGGAAGCTAGTCGTTGCCCGTCTGTCATGAAATTTCATTAGTTTTGACATCCCTCACAACATAAGCAATGGATAAATGCTAACTCTGCTTCCATGCCTGTTCGTTCCCGTAAGTCACCAGCACAGCACAGGCCAGAGAGGTGCCACCTGAAGGAGTGCCTGCCTGGATAAAGGGACAGTTCTGCATTAGCACTGGGGGACCCAGCAGTGCACTGTGGAGTACCAACGAAGCAGCAGGTCCCAGCAGACTGGGTGGAGGTTCTACCAGATCATGGAAGTCACACATCTTAGTGAACTCCCCTGTACACAAAAGACAGAGTCACTCACTAGAGTTCTCTCCCAAGACTCAGTCTTTAAACACGTGCTGGGTCCTGCACTGGATACTGGAGATGTAAAAGTCCATGAAGCAAATGCAGTCATAGTGGGAATGACCAGGGCAAAAAAGCACATAGAGATAGGTACGGTACCCTGTAATTAGTCGGATAATAGCAGTGGCCAAGTTGTCTCAATGACTATGGGATAGTATGAGCGTTCCAGTCTCAGGATTGAGGGACAGTGTGGAGGCTGGGGTCTCCTAATGGGAATGAAGGTAAAGGTTCTTCCTTTGTTCAACAGCTCATAGTAAAGCTGCAGAGTGGGTCGGGATCTGCTCAGACACATGTAGGAAGGGGGATAAACATGGTAGCACAATGGTGTCAGGGTGACAAGGGTAGTCTGGGTTGCATGAGCCAAAGGCTGTAGACAGAGACCCACCGGGATAAAAAAGGCCTCTGGTGTGGACCTGGGTTGGCAAGCTCTGAATACTCAGAGTCTGAGTAGGACAGGAACTGTCTCCATAGAGTGTTGCCAAGTACACGGGGTCATCTCACCAGGATAAGGAGAAAACCCACTCACAGTGATCTGGCAAAGGGGAACAGGTCAGAGCCCCAGCAAGGCCAGGGGAACACCTCCCATAGACATGCTAGGACTTGAGGGGTTTGATGTCTGAGCTGGGTAGGATACAAGGACATCGGCACATGTCATCTGTTCGAAGTAGTGTGACCTATACCAGTTGAAGTGGACATCATGCCGAAGAGCAGCTGGAGTGAACAGGATGGAGAAGGTGCTCCGTGGGGCAGAGGATGCAGGAGAGACAAGAGGGTGGCACCCTCCCTAGAGAAGGATGAATCAAATAAGCAAGCAAAGAAACGGAGACCTAGCATCTTCCTACCAGAGAAGCGAGGCACACACGGGGACAGAAAGGAACAACAACAAAAAAAAAACACAGCCTGTGCTGCTGGATGGGCCTGGAGGAGCCAGCGTGAACACTGCTCCAACTGCAGAGACTGATGCAGAAATAGTCAGGGGTGCACACACACTTCCTTCCTGTATGCACCCAGAACAAACGAGTAGGACACTAGTGCACATAACCACACCCCTCTTTTTTAAGGTGTGGCAGAGAACATAAAGCCTAGAGATGAGTATGACATATTTACCATTCTACCATCACAAAGAGAGGCTGTCCGGGAATGAGACTGACAGAGAAAGAAAAGAACCTCTGGATCCAGCTGTGCCTGAGACCCACTTGTATACAAATGAGGCCTCTCTCTCTCTCTCTCTCTCTCCCTTCTTCTCTTTTGTCTGTTTTTTTCTTTTCTTTCTTGTTTTTTTCTTTCTCTAAGCCAAGATGAATTGAGTTCTTGTCACCTGTAGCGGCTGTCCTGCACTACTCCAAGGACCCCGAGACTGTGTCAGAAACGTTATTATGACATCATGAAAGCATGGTTCACATGTTCTCATTGATGTTCTCTCTTGATGGCGTGGTAGAATTTCCCAGAAACTATATAACCAATGCTATAGCTGCAGATTGAATGCGGTGGCAACTAGCAGTATCCTGCTTCCATTCACTAAACTGATATGGAAAGAAATTCCCCCCAACTGTGAACAATGCTGCTCACTTATTAAAAAAAATGTTTCCTGTGGCAAATATGCTTCTTGTGGAAGCTGCTTGTATGAACATGGGAGGGGCTATTATTGTTCTTTTACATCAGCCAATAAAACTTACATGTAGCAATGATATATTGAAGGCACGTGCAGTTGTTCTCTGGAGAGGCCCTCAGTAATCTTTAAGCCTGTAAATTGATTGGGAAACCACAGGTGTGAGGGCCACTCTACCCAGCATTGTGTCTATGAGATCCTCAGAGGGGTGCCAGGCTCCAGGCCTTCCAGAACCCTCCTTCACTGTCCCTATTAGTATACAGGCATCATCAGCTGCACGCTGAAGAAGCTTCTAGGAGGAACAGGTCTCCCCTCTGGGATAAGGGTTAGACTTTAGCGAAATGGGAAACTTGCTCTCCGAAGACTTCTCAGGAAGGGGACGGAAAGATTAACCCAGTTTGTTCCACAACCTGGCTCCACAGGGGACCTGTAACCCATCGCCTCACTTCCTTCCCAAGCTCTCTTTTCTAGAGTTCAATTAAGGGATAAAACGAACCCCTCACAAATTTTCCCAACAAACTCCTAGTGCATCAAGCTTGTTAATTTGGTAAGACCGTATGCCAACCTATATTGGCTAGGCGCAAAGGCAAACTCACACCATGATGCGCCTCCCTGCATGGTGCGCTGAGTCTTTTTTGTTGGCTTCAGAATATGTGCCTGTGGCCCTTTAAAATGTCTAGCTAGTCTCTTTATCGACAAATATCTTGCCCCTTATGACATAAGTAATCCTTCCCTCCTGCAAGGTGACACCACACTCCTTTCAAGAAAAGGACTAAGAGAAAAGCCCCCAACAATACACAAAACCCACCCACACAGCGGTCACTCACTTCTCAAATGCCATTGTTAAATAATGTAAAGTTTAGTTTCAACACAGGGGATTTATGATTTAAAATAGCAGCTAATAATGCATGGTGTAGGTTTTCACAAGTTTGAGACAAAATACAAGGGGCGGGGGGTGGGGTAGCATCGTATGAAAGAAATCCACTCTTTCCTCAGTAAAAGACAGAAATACAACTTAACATCAGAACCTGATAGGAATTAGGGCCAGCAAGGTGGCTCAGCAGTAAAGGCACTTGCTCCAAGCTGACCAACCTGAGTTCAATCCCCAGGACTCACAAGGTGGATGGAGAGAACTGATTCCCAAAAGTTGTCAACACACGCACACATACACAGTCACACACATAAACACACACACATACACACACACACACACACACACACACACACCACACAGTAATAAATAAATACATGTAATCTAAATATTCTCTTCAAAAGACAGAGAAAGACCTGGTCTGAATCACAAGTTGCAGAAAAGAGATCAACAAGGAAAAGAGAAGATCACACCCGTGAAGCAGATATTAACTCTGATAAAGGTTAATTACTTGAAAATAAGAAACTGTATCATTTATTGCTTGAAAGAAACTCGCATACCTTACAAGGGTACACAGAAATCCCAGTGTAATTGGTGGGCATAAAAGCTCAGCAGGAGTGAATACCAAAAAGGAAAGAACCCACCGCATGCCACACCCAGACGTGTGAATTGATACAGCTCTTCAGTCATACGATTTAGCAATATGCATCGACTGCATGCACACCATTATAATTTCATATACATATTAACCCAGCAATTTTATTTTAAGGACATCCTTTCAGTTTCATGATCAAAAGCGTTCCACATTTATGAGAAAAATGTGGAGAAAGATTTTCTTAAAAGCATGTAGGCCCAATAGTCTTTAAAAACATCTTTGTGTTGAAAGTCAGAGATGTTGGTTTGTGCCAACGAGGCTCCATGTCCCTCCCAAGGAGCTCTAAGGCAGACACATGAGTTCCAAGAAGAGGCCCTGCCTCAGACTGGCCCAGCCCTGTCACAGAGAAGAGCCTTCTCTTTTCTCAACTAATTTGTGGTGAGACGATCAAGTCTTCCACATGTACCCCAAACATTTTCCAATACCACCACGGGCTTCTCTCCACGGAATCATTGCCTTTGCTGTCTATCTATAACTCCCCACTTGTACAAAGATCATTCTGTGAATTTTAAGCATAGCCAACATACATACATGCCTCCATGGACACACACCTTCCCTGAGACACACAGAGTGAAAAGAGATCCATCTATACAGTCAAAAATAGTAACTAAAGTAATGAGGATCAGTTGAATTTGAAATGTTAATACAAGTCTTAGCATGTGTATAGGGGGGTGGGGGTGGGTGTGTAAGGTGTACATGTGTGTGTGATGTGTTATACACGTATGTATGTGATGTGTGTGTGGTGTGCATGTGTGTATGTGGTATGTGTGTGTGTGGTGTGCATGGGTGTGGTGTGGTGCGTGTGTGTGTGGTGTGTTTCCTAGCTCTGTTCTCCAAAGATATCTAAAAGTACATACATTTCTTTTAAGGGTAAGCAGAACTCCCAGATCTTACCTTCTAGAATGTACTGCTCTTGCAATGGAAGCCAAAGGTCTCCACAGAAATAGAGCAGGGGCCCTGCATCAGGAACCTGAAAATCTGAAGGTCAGAAAGCAAAGGCCTGAGGGACTAATGGTGCTGTGCTAATAGACCCTAAGAATCACCTGGAGAAACGGCACTTTTTTAGCACAACTTGAGTGTCAGAGAGAGTAATAACTGTGTTTGACCAAATAAAAATTCAAGATTCCATAGTGATAATAAGAAAAGGAAATTTACTTGTGGCTTAGATGATAAGCTATGAAGCAAAACAAAACTCAAGCCATCAGCTGTATCTAGCAGAGAGAGGGAAAGCGGACAGCTTCCTTATCTACGTGTTTTATGGCGGTTTCTGTCTGCGCCTGACTGCTTGGTGACTAAAACAAAACACTGCTATCTTAAATCTGCCGCCAAACAAATGATCCCGCAAAGGAATCACAGGATAAAGGACGAGAACCCAGAGTTGGTGGTGGAGTTACAGGCAGCTCTCACTGTTCTTCCGGTTCTCCACAGAAATCACGCACCACTCACAGGGCATGAAGCTGCGGGCTTCAGCCACTACCCACACTCAGAAACACCGCACATGGTTACGGCTCCATCAGTCCCCATTTCAGTAGCCACACCTCCGTTTGTCTCTTACATTCACCTTTTTGCTTTTCCTTCCTCCCTCTCTTCCTTCGTTCGTTCCTTCCTTCGTTCCTTCCTTCCTTCCTC